TATTTTTGTTTTCCTTTTAATAGTAACCCATGCTTATTGTATGCAAATTTCTAAAATGTTCGTATATGAAATAAAAATGAAGCCCTCCCCTGTAGGCCAAGATTAGTTCTATGAGTAGTTCTGAGTTAACCACTTTTTGAAAAGTTTTAATAGCTAGTTAAATAAAAACTTCCTTACCAGTATTAAGGAATGAATGAAATGAATTTTTTCATTTTCCTCCTAAGCAAATACAAAGATTTTGTGATCTATTTAGAAACTGTCTAATCTGATTATTTTTAGCACACTTGTTGCAGATTGAGAATGCCCCTGAAATGCCACTTGCATTTGAAGATAACGAGGTGGATATATGCCAGTTCACAACCCTGGGCGGAATATATCACTTGGACATTTTGGAGCTTCCTCCACAGTGTAAACCAGCAAAGGGCTGGATGATTGTGGAAGTAGGTAGATTCTTGAATCACAACTTACAAGTAATATAGTTACTCACACTTTTGCTTTATTTCAAATTATGTAACCTCTAATGAGCTTTAACCCTATTAAACAAGCACAAAGGGAAAAAATGTAGTTTTACGTAGTCTTAAATGTATGAGAATTGAAAATTCGAATCAGATACTGAAGAAAAAGAATCTAAAGTAATATGAATTTTAAAATTGGAACTCATAGATATTGTAAGCCTATATCAATATAGGATTGTAAACATATGGATTAGCTTTTAAAATGATAGTCTAGCATTCTACCATACATGCCCAGTTATGCTGTCATACCCAATCATCTCCCCTCCCACATGGCAAGTACGCAGATTGAAAGGTACTTCTCACCCTCAATCCCATCCATTAAGGACCTTGGTACATTAGAGAAGTATTTATCAACTTTCTTTTTCTTGTTATTGACCCCCAGAGATCCTTGGTAGACATTTTTTTCCTAGTTGCCCCTCCCAGTAAAATTTTAATATCCTTTTTGTCCATAAGTAGGTCCCAGCCTGAGCTGGAATTTTCAAGGGTATATTTAAAGATTTATTGTACTTGAATTTTATCAGAATGTCCCAAGAACACTCCATGTTCTTCATTTGAACCCAAAGAATCCTCCTTCAAACTTATTTTTTCTCTCCTACAGCAAAGAGGCCTTCCTCCTTTTTTCAAGGCTTTGCTCAGTAACTTCCCACCTCCTCTAGAATTTTGCCCAATCTGATTTTTTTCTCTATTTTCTGCCATTTTTAATCTCCCCCCCCAATCACCACCCTAGATTCTTCTCTGCTGCATTCAAGTAACGTACAGATCTACCTTATCCCAGAAAAATTTGTTGCCTGCTTAGTTCACTTTCCTTCATTCATTTCTGAACTTCTCCAAAGGTTCTTATACTTCTTCTCTCTTCACCCACCTGTCTTTACCAAGGTATTAGAGCATGTGGTTTGGGGTCCCATCAATCGGGGTTTGAGTCTGGTGGCTCCTCAAAGTCATTTCTAATCTTTGGCAAATTACTCTTAAGTATTGTCTTTGTTACGTACAGGCCTTTAGAATTGCTTGGAGGAATAAAATGATGAATAAGCCCAGCAGAGAACTGGTCCATAGGAAGTTCCATAATTACATTCAAAGTTAGTGCTTTTTTCCCCTCAATCACTTATCTTTTTAAATTTTGTTGTGATATTGTTAGTCAACCTATAGATAAATGAGACCAAACTGCAGTGTTTATTAAAAAATCTATATAGTTTATCAATAATGTTTACATTTTTAACTGTTAACAGTCAACTTCTAACTTTGTGTGGTTTGGGTCATTTTTTAAAGATACTCAAAGAAGGATTACAGAAATACACATATCCTCCAGAAACTACAGAAGACTTGGAGGCAGAGAACGCTTTCCCACCCGTAGAGGTCACGCTTCGGGTTCATGACAATGTGATGTTTTTTGAGGACCCTATGGTTGTAAGGTGGAATGCTGAAGGTACAGCAGTGCCTTAACCAGTTGTTATATAGTAAGAAGGGGCATAATTATGAAGTCTTCAAGTTGAAACAAAATGCAATATAGAAATCGAGTATATTATCTTACATATTTCTATGCTTTTCTACAGTCTTGTTCTGTTTGCTCATCATGGGAATAAATAGGGTCTGGAGTTTTAAAATTTGTTGAGTTTTGTAATATAGATTTCTAAAGTGCTTATATCTGCCATAGTCTCTGAACAATTACTTTATGGTTATATTATTATATTTTAAAAATATACAGTGAATGAAAATATCAAGGTAGTTTAGCAAATAAAAAACAAACAAATGAAAAACCCATCCTCTCATGAAATCATCAAATACTTCAGATGTGGGTAATTAAATATTTGATAATTTTAATGTTAATTGTTTATAAATTGCAAATAAGTATTGGGGATGAGGACTAGGCAAAACGGGAAACATGTGAAAGAGGAAAACTAGCCACTATATGCCTTTTTAAATATTTGATTCTTGGCTCGGCACCTGTGGCTCAAGTGGCAAGGCGCCAGCCACATAAACCTAAGGTGGCAGGTTCGAATCCAGCCTGGGACTGCCAAACAACAATGACGGCTGCAACCAAAAAATAGCCAGGCATTGTGGAGGGTGCCTGTGGTCCCAGCTACTTGGGAGGCAGAGGCAGGAGGCTTGCTTGAGCCCAGGAGTTGGAGGTTGCTGTGAGCTGTGATGCCTCAGCACTCTACCCAGGGCGACAGCTTGAGGCTCTGTCTCAAAAAACAAACAAACAAACAAACAAATAAATAAATAAATATTTGATTCTTGAACCATGGGAAATTATTACTTTTTCAAAATGTAAGTTAGAAGTACCACTAGCAAAGATATAAGCTGATGATTTATTAATCAGTAATATTTCCTTCGGGGTAGATTCGCTGAATTTTTAGAGGTCTTAATCTTGTTAATTAATGCATGCAGTTTTAGGGATTCTTGATGAAAGCTGTATAGTTTTTAAAAGCAACAAATGTGATGAAACAAGAAAAGCTGTATAGCTTTGCTTTTAAGGTTGTTTTACATTTATGTATTTGTGAAGAGATTTACATACTAGAAATATATTAATAGTTGCTGGAAGCTAGAGGTGGGAATGGGAATTAACTGTAAAAAGATATAAGGAATCTTACTGGGGGGATAAAAATGTTCTAAAACTAGATTGTGGTGATTGTATAACTGGGTAAATTTATAAAAAATAACTTAATTGTATGCTTAAAACCGGTGAGAGTTTTCTTTATAAAGTAAGAGTAGTCTAGGAAGAAAGATTTGCGTGTGCAAAGGTCCAGGGATATATGATGTTGTTGAGGAAGGGGGAAAAGCAGAGCTGAAAACAGGTGTGAGAAGCAGCCAGGGACGGAGCCCCAGAAGTGAGACCAAATTTCCTTAGTCTTCCCTACCATGCAGAATTTGTGCTTGATCTTGTAAGCAGGGGAACTCTCCCAGCAAAGTTGGCCTTTTGTTGAGATCCTACTCCAAATGTAAAAGATCAGTTTATCCACATAGCAATCAATTATTTGGGTGGTTTCATTCATTTTATTTTTTATAGGAAAAAAATGAAACTAATGTCACTTTCTTCATTTATTATAAAGATCAACATTGGACAACTGATGGCATCAGCAATATATCTTATGAACAAAAAGAGAGACTAATCACATTCAGCCTCGAAACCTTTGGCCCTGTTACCTTGATTCAAGATACTCATATTAACATGCCATACCGGTCATGGGAACTAAGACCACTGGATGTCAATCAAGTGCTTTTGACTGTGACCACAGTATTTACTGAGATTCAAATACATATTAAGGTGAGTTACCATCAATCACCTCTTTGTCAAAGCAGTTAATCACTGCTGATGTATGTGGAGGGTACCAAAAATATATACGCATTTTAAGAAAGGAAAAACTGTATTAAAATGGTAATAGCCAAGTCATGTTTGACTTCTGCAATTACGAGAGATGCACGATACAATATACAAGGTAACAAACATTATCTGTACATGCTGAGTATTAACATTTTAATACAGTTTTTCCTTTCTTAAAATGTGTATATGTTTTTTATATATTTTTTGGCACCCTCTGTATATTGAAATGTCTTTTATAAATACATTTAAAATGTACCTTGAGTTGTAATTTTTAAATGAAATGTTAGTTGAATAATTAAATAGGCAATAACATGTAAACATGGAGGCTGAAACCCTGAAGTTATTAGGGATAGATCACCTAAGGACCCAACAAGCATGGCTGCAAGTGGGAGTGTCAGAGCATGTCCATGCTCTAAGAGGCTCCCTGATCCGTATCATCCAGCCATTTGAAATCCCCTTTGAGGGTGGTCTCTTTCTGAATGAGGCTCTGTTTCTCCTTTGTCAGAAATTACATAGCCTGAAAAGTATAGGTTAGTGGTTGCCTGGGCCTGAGGGTAGGACTGGGGATTAACTATAAATGGGGATCTTATTGGGAGGAATGAATATGTTCTAAAACTGATTGATACATGCACTACTCAGGAAGTTACATAAAATCATTTGATAGGGATCTTATTGGGAGGAATGAATATGTTCTAAAACTGACTGATACATGCACTACTCAGGAAGTCACATAAAATCATTTGATTGCACACTTGAAATGGGTGACTTTTATGATACGTAAAATAAGTCTTAACGTTTTTTAAAAAAAGAGATAGCCTGGAATATCTTATGAATGTAGCAGGAAGACTAGAATATTGTTAAGCTTTGCTTTTAAAACTTGATGAGAGGCTCGGTGCCTGTGGCTCAAGCCGCTAGGGCGCCAGCCACATATACCTAAGGTGGCGGGTTCAAATCCCCAGCCCGGGCCCGCCAAACAACAATGATGGCTGCAACCAAAAAATGGCCGGGCGTTGTGGCGGGTGCCTGTGGTCCTAGCTACTTGGGAGGCTGAGGCAGGAGACTCGCTTGAACCCAGGAGTTGGAGGTTGCTGTGAGCTGTGATGCCATGGCACTCGACCCAGGGGGATAGCTTGAGGCTCCATCTTAAAAAAAAAAAAAAAAAAAAAAAAAAAACTTGATGAGAAAGGAGATGGGGAGCTCAAGATCATCAATCTACAAAAGCCTGTAAGATGCTTCTATTCTATCCTTACATCCTGTAGAGGGAAACTAATGCCCAAAGAGGTCAGGAGGTTGAGTGACCTTTCTAAAACCACGTAAGGGTGATAGTTCTAGAGCCTTTGTCAGGCTTCCTCCTTACCACCCCAGCATCCCTGAAGCCTCCAGTGCAAAGACTCTTCCTCTAACTTTATGAAAAGATTAAAAATACCTTCACAATGTTCATTTATTAATGTGAAGATTGAAACACCAAAGATGGCTCATTGTGCATTTTCAGATAGATTTCAAAGGTACATCTATGCTGTCTAATAAGGTAGCTACTAACCACATGTGGTCATCAACCTTTTGAAATGTGACAAGTCCAAATTAATATGTTGTGTAAATGTAGAATACACATCAGATTTAGAATACTTAGCATGAGAAAAAGAATGTGAACTGTCTCAATATTAACTTTATATTGATTACATATTGAAATATATTTTTTCTATATTGGGTTAATTAAAATATATTAACATTGAAAAGAATTCAGATGGTAGATGTGAATTCTATACCTGGGGTCCTCAAACTTTTTAAACTTTCCCTCAGACTGTTGGAGGGCCAGACTGCGGGCCCTGGGACAAGTCAGCTGCTAAGCAGGACAGGTAGTGGCGGCAAAAACACCCAGCAGGCTGGATAAATGTCCTAGGTGGGCTGCATGTTGCCTGTGGGCCGTAGTTTGAGGACGCCTGCTCTATACCTTCAAACTGCCACTTTGGGAAACATTGAAACTGGAAAATACTTTTGCATCACTAAGTTTGATTTTACATATGTGAAAAATCAGGAATGATGTGTGAAATTAGTCATGATTTTTGTCAAATAGCTGTTTTAATTCAATGTGAACTTATGCAGACACTTAGATCATAACTTATAAAATCAAAAGAGACTTGGGAGATCTTTAGCCAGCACATTCCCTTGATTGTTCAGATGTGCCCAAGAGAATAAACTGATCACGGTAACATGGGGACTTGTGCTAGAGTTTCCAGATCAGCCCTAACACAAACCTGCCCTACATTCTTCTTCTTTTTTTTTTTTTAATTATGGGAGATTCATTGAGGGCACAAAGAACCAGGTTACATTGATTCCATTTGTCAGGTAAAGTCCCTCTTATGATTGGTCCCTCTCCCAAAAGGTGTATCACACACGGTAACCCCCTGACTCCCCCTGCCCTCCTTCCCTCTTTCTGCTCTCTCCTTCCCCCACTGCCACCCTGGTCTGCATTCTTTTTAATATAGTGATAAATTATTTAAAAACAATACAAAGTTGGTGGTGTCTGTAGCTTACTAGGTAGGGCACCAGCCGTATACATCGAGGCTGGCAGGTTCGAACCTGGCCTGGGCCAGCTAAACAATAATGATGCCAACTGCAACCAGAAAAAAATAGCTGGGCGTTTTGGCCGGCACCTGTAGTCCCAGCTACTCAAGAGGCTGAGGCAACAGAATCACTTAAGCCGAAGAGTTGGAGGTTGCTGTGAGCTGTGACACCATAGCAGTCTACCGAGGGTGACATAATTGGGACGCTGTCTTTAAAAAAATAAAATAAAGGGCGGCACCTATGGCTCAAAGGAGTAGGGTGCCAGCCCTATATACTGGAGGTGGTGGGTTCAAACCCAGCCCCTGCCAAAAACTGCAAAAAATAAATAAATAAAATAAAAACAATACAAAAAATCCAGAGGCTAGACCTAAAATGAAGTAATAATTTCAACTTGTATAAAACCTTCTTTTATTTAAACTAGGAAAACGTCTGCATGTTATCATCAATCAAACTACAAGACATAAAAGAAGATTTTCCTATTTTGGAAGGAAAATGGATGACTTCTTTTTGTTTCATTAATGCTTTGAAGGAAGCTGGCTTGAACATCTTCCCTACCGGACACTCTCATTTCTATGTTTCTGCGAACAATAAGGCAAGGAGTCTTTGCCAATTTAATGTAATAGACATTAGAATGTTAGCAAGTGTTAAATTTTGTGTAGTATTATATAGACCATGAGTTTTATGTTCACCTATACAGGATTGTATAGTTAGAAAAGAAGGAAAGAATAAGTGCAAAGAGCAGAAATCCAGGGTTCTCTCAAGTTAATAAAGTAAACCTGTGAATGATCTTCCTTTGACACATGGAGCATACCACTGCTGGCCAGCTTATTGCAAAGGTTATCTAAGTGACTTCTCATTTTATGTATTTTGTTTCTTTTTCCATGACTGAATACATGTAAGATCTCTCAAAAGGGTGAAAACCCTATGCTTTCCTAAACATGATAAATTAAGTAAAATTAAACACATACAAGGACCACCAATGTACAAGACCCACTTCCTTTGTTTTCTTAGCAGAGCCTCCGTGTCTGTATAATGGTTCATGTTATTCATTAGGTTTTGGGACCAATACCATGCTGTCCTTTGTGCTTAAGATTGCTTTGCTCTTAAAGCTGGGCTTTAAGAATGGGCTTAGCCAGCACATTCCCTTGACTGTTCAGGAAACAGTCTGGGCTGGGCTCTTCCGTGGTTCCAAATGAAGCATAGAATTATTATTCCTAGATCTGTGAAATATGGTGTTCATTTTTGATAGGGATTGCATTGAATCTGTGAATCACTTTGGGTACTATGGCAATGTTTTAACAGTATTCTTCTACCAATCCAAAAGCATGATATGTTTTTCCGTTAGTTTGCATCATCTGTGATTTCTTTCCTCAATGTTCTGTAGTTCTCTTTGTAGAGATACGGCACCGTCTTGGTTGAGTATATTTCTAAGTATTTTATTTTCCTTGTAGCTATTAGGTATGGATTAGGTACTCAGTGCTAGTGGATCTTTGATTTGACTCTCAGCTTGACTGTTCTTAGTGTATAATAATGCTGCTTTATGTACATTGATTTTGAAACCTGAGACTTGGCTGAGTTTATCAATTGTATATCATCAACAAAAAGCAATAGATTGATCTCCTCTTTCCCAATTTGGAGGCCTTTTGTGTCCTTTACTTGCCTGATAGCTCTGGCAGGACTGCTGGCACTATTGTGAGTAGAAGTTGTGACAGTGGGCACCCTTGCTTTGTTCCAGTTCTTAGGGGAAATGCTTTCAACTTTTCCTCCTTCACCATGATATTCAGGCTGTGGGTTTGTCATATATGGCTTTTCTAAGTTTGAGAATGGTTCCTCCTGTGCCTCGTTTGTTGAGGATTTTTATCATGAACAGTTGCTGGACAAATACTTTTTCTACATCTATTGAGAGGATAACATGGTCTTTGTTTTCACATCTGTTGATGTGGTGTATCACATTTATTGGCTTATAGTAGGTTGAATCATCCCTGCATCCCTTGGAGGAAGCCCACATGGTCTTAGTGGTCAGTTTGCTAGTATTTTATTGAGGACTTTTCTATCTATATTCACAAGGGATATTTGTTTATAGTTGTTTTTATTATGTCCTTTCCTGGATTTGGTATGGAGAAAAGACTGGCTTCATAGAATGAGTTGGGGAGGATCTCTTCCTTCTCAATGGGGTGTGGTAGAATTTGGCTGTGAATCCATCTGGTTCTGGGATTTTTTTTTTGTTTTTGGAAGATTTTTTTATGACTTCTTCCTTCTCACTGCTCATTTTGATCTATTCAGGAGTTCTCTTTCTTCCTGATCGAGTCTTTGAAGGTTGTGTCCAGGAATTTGTCCATTCTCTAGTTTTCTAGTTTATGTGATAGAGTAGTCATGTAAGGTTTTAGTTAATAAGCTTCCTCCAGGTTAAACTGTGAGCTTATTGAGGATGGGGGCTGTTCTAATTCTTTTAGAACCTAGCATATTCCTAGAATATGGTAGATTTTTAGTAAACATTTGTAATATGTTAGTGAAGACGCCAAGTGCCTTCTAATCATGAAAGGTATGTTTGTAGGCAGAAGAATTCTGTACTCAAGAACATGTTTATGAATGTACCAGAAAATGGCAGTATAGGTATATATTCATATAACATTTGAAAATAATCCTGTAACTAAGGTTATATATATACACACACACATGAAAAAAAACCCTTGATTTTAGTAACTCAAATCACTTGTTACTCTGCAGTGTTGAATGTAGTATCCTCTTCATGTTTTCAGAATATTCAAGGAAACATTTTTTTTCTGAATGTAGAATATGCTAGACACTGTTTTAGAGGATTAGGATGTCCGTGAATAAAACAGGTCCCTGCCCTTGTGTAGTTTACATCATAGTAGAAAAGGGAAAAACAACCCATCTAGTGTACTAAAAAGGTGAAAGTGCTGTGGAAGTAAGAAGTGGTAGATCAGGAGTCGTGCGGTTGAGCAGTGTACGATATTCAATAGGGTGTCGGGGCGCAGTGAGATTGGACCAAAACTTGAAGGTAGGAAGTAAGCCAAGTGTATATCTTGGGAAGCAGCTTCCAGGTAGGGAGAACAGCGGCAGCAGAGCTCTGAGGGCATGGCTGGTGTGATTTGAGGGCTGGAGGAGCAGCAAGGAGGCCTGGACCTGAGAGAGCAGAGGAGAGGAAAATGAGATAAGGCTTACAGGCCATGGGGTGTACATGGGGTCGTGGGCGGAGGTGTCAGATCAGAGAGGGCTTTGGAGGTCTTCGTTAAGTCTGGTTCTGCTCTGAGAGGAAGGACAAGCCTTTGCCCAGCTTTGAAAGAGGAGCTATGTCCTCTGACTTACAATTTTAAGTGGATCCTTCTGGGTTGAGAATAGACTGAAAGAGGCCAAGGATGGAAGGGAGACTTGTTGAGAGGCCCTGAAACTAGTTTTGTTTGTTTTTATATTAACAGATTCCTTTGGTAGAAGTGAAAGCTTATCGACAAATGGCCCTACTAAGTTCTGCTTTTGCATTTGGTTGGAGCAAGTGGAACTTAGAATGTACTTCTTCAAAAGTTGTATTTAAGGTATAGTACTATGTAAAAACCCATAAAACTACTTTATCCTCCAAAAGAAGATAAAGTAAGTATTGGTTTTAAAAACATAAAAACAGGGCCCAGATGGGTGGATCACCTGAGCTCAGGAAGACCCCCATCTCTACAAAAAACAGAAGAAAAAAGAATAGCTGGGCATTGTGGTGGGTACCTCAAGTCCCGGCTACTTGGGAGGCGGAAGCAGGAGGATTGCTCAAAGCCAACAGTGTGAGGTTGCTGTGAGCCATGACCCCACAGCACTCTACCAGGGTGACAGGTAGAAACAAAAAACATTCAAAATGGAGTTTTAAATCTTCAAAAATTTTTTAAGTTTGTCATATGAAATGCCTTTGTTGTCCATTATGGTATCAAGTGCTCTTGACTTCAGGCCATGTAGACTCAAGAACAGAGGGAAGCCTTTAACATGAACACGTCTGTGATTCACAGACTCTCTCCTGGGAGGGTGAGACATCCAGTTTAACCTTCTGACCGGTATTCTTAGCTGGTAGAGCAAATTTCAAATTCTAAAAGCTAACTGGTGAATGTCGCAGCATAGACAAGCCGCTGTCTTTATCGTTCTTGTTTATCATGTTTCCCTCTCAAATGGAAGCTGCTTGAGGGAAGGGTTTTGTTGTTACAGTGTTATTTACTTATATTCATTTTTTCCTATGTTTTGTTTTGCTTTTACATTTCTAGCACCTAGAACATGATAGGCATTCAATAAATATTTGTTGCATGAATTAATACATGTGGTCCCTAAGCACCAGGTTGTGAACAGTTTCATGGTTTTAAAAAAATTCAATAATGGGACATTAAGAATATTTCTTTTATTTTTATTTATTTATTTTGAGACAGAGTCTCACTCTGTCGCCCTCCATAGAGTGCCGTAGCATCACAGCTCACAGCAACCTCCAGCTCTTGGGCTCAGGTGATTCTCCTGCCTCAGCCTCCCAAGTAGCTGGGACTACAGGTGCCCACCACAACGCCTGGCTATGTTTTTGTTGCAGTTTTGGCCGGGGCCAGGTTCAAACCCCCACCCTCAGTATATGGGGCTGGTGCCCCACTCACTGAGCCACAGGTGCCTCCCAGAACATTTAACTTCAGCAATTGTGAAGACTCAGTTGAGCTCTTCAGCTAATACTGTTTTCAGAATCCTTAACAGAAGAGGAACTAGTAATGGATTTTTTTTTTAAATTTCCCTTTTTCTTTTAAGGTGAAGGAACATCTTGCTGAAGAATGGCCTGAGAATCCTAATTGGGACCTTTTGTTGTTTACTGGCGACAGAGCACAAATGCTTAAGATCAATGAAGAGAGTGAGGCGTTCTCTGAAGCGCTTAAAGAAGAAACGGAGTTTCACTCTACTTTGTATCACATGGTCAAGGATTTCGCTTCTAAGGAAGCAATGGAGAAAATCAGGAGTTCCGACTGTCAGTCTCTTGCCTGTGTCTGCCAGATGCTCCTTTCTACAAGACTGCTCAGCTACTCCTGATCTCCACTCAGAAGCTTTCATCAGTATGAAAAGTCAAGTATGTTGGGGAAAAGCAGGTATTTCTTCAATAAAGTATAATGAGTGAATATATTCCAGATAAGCTCTTAAAATTATCTGATCAACATTTTCTGTTCAAATTCTATTTTGAGCCAAGTGTTTTTCTTTTCCTTTAGTACTTAGCCTATTGAGAATTTCAGCATTCACCGTGTGAAGATTTGAATGATCTTTATTTAAGTAAACTTTAACAAAACCACATATATTTCTTCCTCAAAAACTCTTTAAAACATTGCAGGCAGGCTTCATCCTCACTGTATTTTAGTCAAAGAGATAATTGGAAAAAGAGGGCATGGATTAATAAAATATCTTACAGTCATTCTGAAAACCTCTGGTTTCATTCTATACTTTCCCAGCTAAAAGTTACTAATTTACAAAGTTCAGATACTGAAACTTTCTAAATCAAGATACAGATAGTAGCGTGTGCTGCTGTCACACTGGGGGTGGCCCATTGTGTCGGAGTTTGGCAAACGGCCACAAGATGTGTTCTAGAGATATCCAGGAGTCCTCTTCCTGTATGGGAGCAGCGTCCACCGACTTTTGGAAGAACCGGCCTGTGAGGAAGCTCATGAGAGCCGCGAGCAGGACGATGAGCAGGACGGACAGCCAGAGCGCCTTGTTAGCCTTTCTGAGGGAAGTCTTGACAGTGGCTGTCCAGGAAGCTATGGTGTCATAACTACGAGGAAGATACAAGTACAGAATTGGGTAATTAATAACTTGTTATGAGAAACGCTCCTTTTGCCAGGACTGCCTTATAATCTGCATATTATGATTTATCATTTTGGTTTGGGACAGAATCAGCCCCCCCTTTCCAAATTATTAGATTATAGCCTGAGAAATATAGCAAGACTTTACAAAAAAGTAAAAAAATTAGCCACACACGGTAGCAGGCACACATAGTCCCCACTCCTTGGGAAGCAGAGGTGGTAAGATCGCTTGAACCCAGGAGTTTAAGGCTTCAGGGAGCCATGGTGGTGCCACTGCACTTCTGCCTGGGAGACAGAGGGAGACCCTGTCTCAAAAGAAAAAAACAAAAAGAAATGATGTGGTATAATGAGAATCTGAAAATTACACGGTTTAGGCAGTATTTAACTCCTAATGTGTACATACAAGAATTTATCTCATTCTTTGATTCCTACAGTGGAAACAAAAATATAATTTACCGGATAGAGCAGGACATCTATGTATATATTTATGTATGTGTACAGTAGTCCCCCTCGTATTCTCAGGGGGTATGTTCCAAGACACTCCCCCCCAGTGAATTCCTATATTACACAACACTGTATATAGTATGTTTTTTCCTAGATGTACATATGATAAAATTTAATTCATCAATTAGGCACAGTAAGAGACTAACAATAACTAGTAAGAAAATAGAGCAGTTGTAACAATATGTTGTAATAAAAAGTTACATTAATGTAGTCTCACTCTCCTTTGCAAAATATCTTGAGTACTTTACTCAACCTATTTTTGGATCATGAAAGTGAAACTATGGATAAAGGGGGATTACTATATAGAAACATGTCACATTTTTTACCATACTCCATACTTTTACTACACTATAATTTAAACTTTCTTTTAGAAACACCCACTGAAAAAGGTATTAGAGCATCATTTAAGTCTTTGAAAATAGTTAACGCTGTGCTAGACGCTGTGACATGGGTACTAGTATCATCTTCATCTAATAGATGAAGTTGTTACTTGAATGAACTTGAAGTTGCTATTCAAATGAACTTGCCCAGGTCTCACAGCTAGCTAGAGAGCTGGAATTCAAACCTCGGCTGTCTGGTTCCAGAGTCAAGTTTCCTAAAATCTCTCCTGCCTCCTTTGTAACATAGTTCAAGGATAACTGCTGTAGACCACACAAAGTTTGTTATTCATCTTACGTATAACAATTAGACATGTCTTTTAGTAAAGTAAATTGGTTAAAATTAATACTGCTTTGCCCTTTCCCAGTCCACCAGAACGGTAGCCCGTTGTCAAGCCAGACACTTACACGGAAGAGACTTGCCACTTGGACGGAGCGTTTTTCTTTTCAGAAAGACTTGGCTTCCTTGTCCTTTCTACTATTTCTTCTCCTGGTGGTTCTGAGTCATCTTTAGTTCTGTAAATAAATATGGTTTTTAAATATCTGAAATGTAGGATAATATGTCAGAAGTATTTATAAAATCTTGCTACATTTTACAGTATAACTTAAGAGGCTCACAAAGGTATGTTTTGCTTTAAGAAGATTTGATAAATACCTGACTCTGAGAGTTAAGCCACCAAATTTACAATTTAAACCTTTTCTAGGAATTGTATTTTAAGAAATAACTTTCTCTAATTAGAAAAATAATGTTTGTGTCTTAAGTGGAGATGTTAGCCAAAGATATGAAAAAAGGGGGAAATTTACAAAGGACATATAAAAATTAACCTCGCCACTCATAATTAATCACTGTTATTACTGTGATTTCTTTCTCTGTATGTGTATATATGCACTTAACCACACTCTAAAAACAAATGTGGATACCATGCTTATTCCTCTTGATATTTTTTCATTCAATACACAGTAAACATATTTCCTTATTATTAAACATTCCATCACGTTTTTAAATATCCTATATTAGCAGTTGATTTTACCCTTTTCTCTAATCAGTGCTAACTTGGGCTAACATTAAAATTCATCTCTTTCTCTAAAAATCTTAATAATTTATGAAAATTTTTTCAACGTAGACCAGGCACAGTGGCTTATGCCTAACACTCTGGGAGGCCAAGGCAAGTGGATTGCTTGCTCAAGAGTTCGAGACCAGCCTGAGCAAGAGCAAGACCCATATCTCTACTAAAAGAATAGCAAAATTAGCTGGACGTTGTGGCGGGCACCTGTGGTCCCAGCTACACTGGAGCCTGAGGTAAGAAGATTGCATGAGCCTGGGAGTTTGAGGATGCTGTGAGCTGTGACACCATGGCACTCTACCCAGGGCAACAGAGTAAGACTCTGTCTCAAAAAAAAACAAAGAAAAGAAAATATTTTCAATGTAAAGTTAGTTAAATAAAAGCTAGTACTTTTGCTACTAGTTTACTAGTACTCAGTGAACTGAGAACTAGCAATTGGACTGACTGTATTTTTAATCAAATCATATTATTTAAAAAGGATAAAACAAAACATAATTGTTTCATTGTTTCGTTCTCTAATGAAGTTCCTATTTGGACTTGAAATTCCAAGCTCATAATGACCTCACTATTGCTAAAGGGAAATGTGTCTCAAAGATTTTTTTTTCAGGCAAACATCTATAGGGAGCATTTATGATAGACTTTCATTTTTAAAAAAACAAGGCCCAAAGCCAAAATAAATTCCATTCTTATAAAATTCTCAATGTATTTTTGTTTATAAAGACTTCTCAATAGAAAGCGTACCATACTAAGAAAAGGCAAAAAATAGATTATGATCTTTTGGGGCTTTTTAAATTATACTCTTTTGAAGGAACTTCTTGAGTTTTTTTTTCACCCAGCCCAAAAAAGATCTATTATGTTAACTCTAAATCTGAAAAGAGTTTTCAACACATGGAACTCGGACTTATAAAAAGAAAAACAAAACAAAAAGCAGTACTTTGAGGGCGGGCACCACATCTTGCTTTCGTTCCTTAAGATTGAGCATAGACTGTATCAAAGGAGGCACTCAGTGAAAATGTGTAAAAGGAGCGGAGAATCATTTCACTAAGAGCTCTCAGTTCAATACATGAGAAAACTGAGACCATGTAAAGTTAAGCACTCTGTCTAATCACCCAAGGTCTTAGAGGCGACATTTCTTCATGTCTCTTGCCCTTTTCTTTTTACTATGGAAGTAGTTTTTATTTGTTTAGTTTACTAGATAAAGAGACAGTGATCCAGAGTTTGACGTTTCCCTACTCTGACTTTACATAAATGGAGACTAGATGTATACACATGATACATATCTGCCTGTGTTATGGAATACACATACGTCGCATATATATATAATGTTTCTTAAAATCTAAATAGATGAACATTTTACTTCTATGGCTCTCGATTGACCTTTCCACCTAATGGCCACACATCTAGATAGGGAAAAATTATCTTCACAAACCTGCCAAACTCCACCGTCTTTTCTAGCTTAAGACCTCAAACCTTGCCATTTTGAGAGCGACAAGAGTGAAAGTCTATGAAAGTCTTTTACAAGGAATTATCTTTTTTATCTCATCTCCACGGAGAAAAAGTGATTCCCATTGTTCATGCCCCAGTTCATGTCAGGTTAATAGACACACCAAGCTTCACCTACTTTAGTTCACATTTTTCTTCTTCAGCATCTGCCCAGGAATAGGTGCTAATAAATCGATGTAATGAGGGACGGTGTTCACTCTGCTTTGACCCCAAAATACGCCTAAATAAAGATGATTATAGCCACTAGTCAAATCAAATACATCCGTAGCCATTATCAATGTATCTGCTACTGTTTAAATCAATATGAAAATTACATGTGATAATTAATTTTTTCCTGGCATAGTCACACCTCCTAATTCACAATAAAAAATTTATGATCATTTACCAATTTACATAATCATTTACTGTACTTATGCTCTGTACAAATCAAATGTCACTATATCTCTCATTTCACATACTCATTTACTTTTGCCCAATTATAAAATAGTTAGGTTCCCAAAGAGCAGCCATAAAATTATACTCACCAACTGCTTGACCTCCTATTGAATCGCTCATTATTTTCCATCCCAGATGCCTTGGGAAGTTCAGATGTTAAAGAAATGATAAAAAAAAAAAAAATTTAGCGAAGTGTATATTTGTGCCTAATGAAAATGAATTTATTTAGTAAGAACACTTAGGGATTTTCTTACCATTCCTACATTTCCTATATTCCTGGGTAAAGAAGCAATGGTCACTCTTCGAAGAGAAGATGGCTACCAGAGGAGGAAAGTGGACATTTAGGAAATTCTCAATATTTTACTGTTGCATGCAGCACTGATGAAGATCACTGTACATGCACAGCCATGCACTTGACTGCTCCTGAGTTAACAACAGGCATACTTTAAAGGATCGTGGTATGGTCAGGTTGAGTTCCAAAAATTTTTTACCACCTTCCCTAACATTGGATTATTATAATTCAAACAAAAATAGAAGATTTCTTGTTTGGATTTTCATTCATTGGACTTCTAATATTGTTGAATATGGCATTATTATGTTGAATTGTCGTGTATACATCTGCTCTGAAAATCACTTATGTATAATCTTTCCCCATATTAATTTTGTTCATATTACTGGCAGAAAGTTTTTTTATTATTAATCCAGGCAAATCTGTTCTGTTTTTCTCTCTTTTGCTACCACTGCTTTTATGCTTAGCAAGATTTCCACCAACTCAAAAGGATAAAGTTACCTACATTTGTAGTTTTTCATAATAGCATTTTTTTCCATTTAACACATTTGAACATTTTCATTATATTTTAGTGAATAGATATGTTTACATATCAGCCTTGAGATTTGCACTAGAAAGTGTTATGCTGCATTATGTGGCTCTTAAAGTTTAAGTAAAAACTTCTGGATATAAAAATATTTTAAATGTAGTAAATAACCTAATTTAAATGGGTTCTAGGTGAGTCCTTCTCTTGAACCATCATCCCTAATTTTAATTAGGTTAAATAGGTTTGTTGAGCATCAAGATTATCAAAATGCAGCCCACGAAGCCTCATGTCTTGTCCTGGTACTACCAGAAAGTGATCATAACTAATCACCTTTGTGCTTCTCTCCTTCCTCATCCATGGGGGGAAAGGGCGGGTTGCATGGAATGATTTTAAAATCTCTTACTCAAAAAGTCTGTATATTTAGGAAATCCTGATTTTCAGACTGTGGCAAAAGCTGCTGATTGACCTTCAATATCCAATTCTCTTCATATTTGGTAATAAGCCCTCTGATTTGTAGTTGGGCATACAGCCTCCGGAATAGAAACCATACTTTCAGTCTCATTCGCAACCAAGAATGAAATGGGAAATGTTATAATGGACTTCCAGGAAATGTCTTTACAAGGAGAGGGAACACCTGTATTTGTTTCTTCTTCTTCTTTTTTTTTTTTTTTTTGAGACAGAGTCTCACTCTGTCACCCTGGGTAGAGTGCCATGGCATCACAGCTCACAGCAACTTCCAACTCTTAGGCTTAAGCGATTCTCTTGCCTCAGCCTCCCAAGTAGCTGGGACTACAGGCGCCCATCACAACATCTGGCTATGTTTCTTCTTTTTTCTTGATGTAATGATGAGGACTTGGTGCGTGGATCTAAAAAGTTACCTTAGAGCAAGAGGTGGAAGGTAGTTAAGCAGCAGGAAGGAGGGGCCCACTGGTTCCTGAGGATTTTGTGAAGCTGCTCTACCATTGTTGGACTGCCTAGTTCCAACACTGGTTGTACATGACAGGAGGGACACTATTGTCATACTAGCTTTCCTTATGCTGCCAGGCAAACTTAATTGATATGCAAATATAGCAGGAAGTATACAAGCATATTTGCATAAAAAATACACATATACACATGTATATAAATTAAAATCACTTTTATGATTTACATTTTAAAGGCATGAAGCTTCAAATAGTACTTTAAAACCTTTTGACTTATAAACATTTGATGATTTGGGGTTTTTTTTTTTAAATTAAATCATAGCTGTGTACGTTAATGCAGTCTGATTTGTTAAGGGAATTAGTACTTACCTTTGAGTTTAGAGAAGCTGAACGTTTTTTAATTTGGCAATCATCTGAAAGGAAAAACACATTTGTACATACATGTATATCAATTATCCCTGTAATTTACATTAAAGCAGTGTCTTCATTCTTTTCAAAGTAAAGTAAAGGTCAGAAAAGATTTATCGAAGACTCTAGGGGCTACTGAGTGATATGATATCTGCTTATCATTTATTTTGTGTTGCATAACAACTGACATCTTAAGCAATGGAATGCAGACATGTGTGTGTCAACGAGGGTATCTACAATACCCACATGGCACATGGCAGGCACTAAATGAAATGTCTGCTGGAGAAAGGAATCCAAAAGCACAGCTCAGAAGAGTATCAAATATGGGTAGGAGCTTTTCTAGAAGTGGCAAAACATCATTAAAATGAGAATTCTGAGCCAGGGGCAGTAGTTTATGCCTTTAATTACAGAGCCTTGGGAGGCTTAAGCTAGATAGCTTGAGCCCAGGAATTTCAGCAACATAGTGAGACCCTCATCTCTATAAAAAAAAAAAAATTAAAAATTAGCCAGGCATGGTGTACACTAGCTGTAGTCCTCACTACTTAGGAGGGTGAGGCAGAGGATCACTTGAGCACACCCTGGCAATATAGCAAGAACCCATCTCAAAAAATAAAACTATTGTAGAATTTCTAGAAACCACATGGTAAGATATTTTCCATGGCCTCATATGTCTGTTTTTCAGTCCATTAGTTTCAGCTTATTGTGCCTCCTTTGAGGCATCAAAATCATTATTGATGAGAGTGGTTCTCTTAAAGTATTGCACCTTACTTTATATATATGGAGAAAAAGCCAATTCTAACATATCCTAAATAAGGGAATACTAGGATCAATTTCATGAATTGAATTAAATATATCCTCTGATCACAGCAGTCTGAATTGAGATAATGAATTTTTGGTGTGACTACCAAAGAATCCTTCACGTCCCCAACCTATTTTATGACATCTTATTTTTGACAATATAAATAACTGAAATGAGTTATTTTTCTAATATAAACTCAACCTCTGAATCTTATGCCAAAGATAGAAGACAGTATAAAAGACGATGTTAGAAAAGCATAATGCTATTAAAGTTTAAACTTTCATTACCTTCATCTTCAAGAGGATTAAAAGACCTTTCATTCTGCAGAAGAACTTGTTTCAGTTCTTCTAATTCCGCGTGTTCTTTGGCATACATTCTCTTCAAGTTTTCTACATGCTGAATCATCACTTCAACTGCTTTACTAACCCGGCTTTCCTAGTAGGAAAAAAAAAAAAAGCAAATTTATGCTGAAAATATTATACTCAATACTCAATTAAAAGATGGTGATTAAACACATGCATTTACCTCCACTCCTTTCCTAAATCCCACTACAATGAAAACAGAGGGTTAAAAAAAAAAGGCATACATCTCAAGGGCAAATAAAATAGAAGAGGATATAGTAGCAACAAGATTTGTAGAAGGACTAGTACATGAGTAAGACCTGAAAAAGCTGAACCCTAAAAAAAGCAGTGATAAGAACCCAGAAGCAACCTGGGTTGTCTAGTACATCTGATGAACAGCAAGGAAACAGGTCTGGTTGTAGTGCAATAGTCCAAGGAGACGGTCACAGGAGATAAAAGAACAAGAGGTAGGAGGGCAGGAAAATCATGTAGGTCCCCTTAAGCCCTTCTGAGACATTGGCTTTGACCCTGAGTAAAGTAAGGAGCCACCAGAAGACTTTGAACCAAAATGTAACTTGATCTGTCTTAAGTTTTAGGATTACTCTGGGTGCTTTTTAGAAAACAGACTGTGGGAAGAGGGACTGGGATTAGATGGAAGCATAGGGACCATTCAGGAAACTATTATATTAACCTGGAACAAACAGAATGGGGTCTCATAGAAACTTGGTAGCAGTAGAAAGGGAGATAAGTGGTTGAATTTGGAATATTCTCCGATGGTAGAGCCATTAGGATTTCTGTAGGATTGAACGTGAAGTGAGAGAGAGGTGTGGAGAATTACCACCCTCCAGCCCTGGTTTTGGCTTGAGCAGCTGGTAGGAAAGAGTTGTCTTTGACCAAGGTGAGATGAGTGGGGTAGGCCAGGGAGGGACCACGAGCAGTTAAGCTTGAGATGTTCACAGAATATCTAAGTGGACGTGTTTGGTCAGCAGCAGTGTATTCCAATTGGGAACCTGAAGGAACAGTTTAGGCTAAACATAGGAATTTGAGAGTCATGGGCTGATTGCATGGCATAATACTGGGATTGAGTACAGATGGAGGTCAGGTGGACAGCAGGGGAATCCTGGGGCTCTTCAGCACTAAGAGGTCTGAAGGAAAGGACATAACCGCAAAGGAGCCTGGAAGGAGCAGCCCGGGAATAGCCCAGGGGGTGTGGCCCCTGGAAGCCGAGAGGAGCGTTTCCAGGCAGAGGAAGAGCTCTGCCACAGCAGACGAGGACCGAGAAACTGAACGGGAAGTTCAGCCAGCAGGGGGCAGTGGTGTTTCCTAGCTATGTAGGCACCAGCAGGTGGAGAGGGGCATTTCAGCAGGGTTACAGATTTTCCAAATGAGTTGAAACAAGAAAGGGAAAAGTGTTGGGGGTTCATGCCAAGTAATGAATACTACGTTTGACCATGAAGTTTAAGCTTGGTCAGCAAAGAAGGGTAGAAAACAAGGTGAGAAATGGCAAAGGTGTGAGGGCGCCTTTGATAAAGAACTAAATATCCATCTTCACTGTGGGAAAGCAACAGATGATACCTAAACCCACCAAAGGACAGCACAAGCTATTTAGATACATAGATGCAAATATAAAACAAATAAGCCAAAATAGGTGAAAGTTGTTGCTCTGAAGCCTAAGAAATTGGGTCATAAAGCTTAGAGAGTTACTTGACTTAAAAAAAAAAATACTGCACGCATAACTTTAGAAAAAATAAGGAATAATCTCTAGTGAGGGGTCAACGGGAAGTAGGATATAAGAAATGATCAAAACTAAAACTACCACCACAATTAAATGTCTCCTCCTTAAAAAATATATTTTAACAAGTCTCTTTCAGTATAGATAAAAAACCACGCACGTCTCTCCAGATTTGCCCACAAAAATGTTGAAATTCTACTCTCAGAATAAGTGCACAAAGATGTATGTACAAGGATATTGACTGTAACAGCTAATGATCAAGAACCTCCTGAAATGGTCCAACATGAGGGATTGGTTGAATAATTTATATCTATTCAATCCATAGAATCCCATAAAATGATATGTGTATCTATACTTATTTCATGTAGCAAGTTGTCTAGGATATAAATGGAATTAAAAAGAATCAGATTATAACCTTTATGAAGGGAGCATCTAAAAGAATATATCACAACACTTTTATAATCCCCACTGGCTAATGTTATCAGAGATAGTCTTACATTTTTATTTGCATATTCCATTTTTCCTATATAAAACACGTATACCTATGTAACAAATATTTTCTTAAAACTTATTCCAATAAATTTAATCCATAATCTCAGGGAAAATTAATGCTTTTCATTGTATCTGGAGAAATGGAGACAGGTTACCTGGTTAATGGCCCCCAGCATCTCAGCCCTACTGGCCACTCGCGCTGTGCACTGGCTGAGAAACGTGATACTCTTCTCCAGCTTCTTAATTATTTCCTGGGCCTGGTTGTCATCTTCACACAGAGGTGTTAAAGCCTGCACAAAGAGTAGAAGGTGAAAAGACATCCCACATAAGTGCTCAGCAAGTGCTTCTAACACTGACCGTGTAGCCAATGTGGATGGCACAATCTCAGTCATCTTGAGGGAGGAGAAAAAGAAGCAAAGCCCCATAATGAATGATATCAAAATATTTCTGTCTCTGATGGCTAACAAGTAGATATACAGGTGATCACAAACCTTTTATGTCTATTCTGGATCCCTTCTTCATTTATGTCCCAAATTTCCTCATGAGCATTCACTTCTTGCTTCTACAATTCTACCCATAATGGTAAAGAGACTATGCTTATAAATGAACGTATCATTTAAGGGAAATAAGTGGAAATTTTGAGAAAAGTGACCAGACTACTGGAATCAGAAATATCTGGCTGCTACACACACTTGCTCTTCCATGGATGATAAGGTATCAACCTCGGTATTTATAAATGTTTGGTGAAGTTGATTGGGCTGGCCAGGTGAGTATTCATTCATTTCCTTACAAGCATTCCTCCCAAACCAGTCTTTTTGTACAAGATGATGTCCTTCCTGATGAAGGACCATTTTTCTTACTAAGCTAGAGATAGAATTAAGAGAACAGCAGATTTGGAAGCAAACAAGACTTTGCACATCACTCATTAGCTGTGTGATTGTGAGTGAATTTCATAGTCTCACTCAAACCTAAAACATTATAAATTGTAAGAAGTACCATTATTTTGTAGATAATTTTTTTAAAAATGTTGCCTATAAAACCAGTAGGCACCACTGATTGTAAATTGTGTCATAATTCTAGAAACATTAAAATGTCAACCTTTCTGATTTGTTGTTACCTCATTCATTGGTCAAGTGGAGACAATGACACTCCTCTCAGGAATACTGTGATATGAGATGCCAATTGCTTGTCACATAGTTGGTGCTCAATGAATAGCAGCCACTTGTGAAACAGACATGACAGGCTGTGTTCAAAGAGTTGATAATCAACTGGAATGGCAATCGTCAGACATGCAATTTCTTGCAGATTTTTGGCCAGGGCTGGATTTGAACCCGCCACCCTCGGCATATGGGGCTGGTGCCCTACTCCTTGAACCACAGGTGCCACCCAAGACACATAGTTTCTTACAGCAGTTTAAATAACCACCTCCAGTTGGGAAGGGACAGGCAGAGGTCAGTTGTTAACAAAACAGAATATGGTTAACCAAACTTGAATCATGAAGAAATAGAAAATCTGAGTAGACCTATAACCACTAAAGAGATTGACTCAGTAATCAAAACCTCCCAACACAGAAAAGCCCATGACCAAACAGCTTCACTAGGGAACTTCACCAAACATTTATAAAAGAATTAATGCCAGTCCTCCTAAAACGCTTCCAAAAAATTAAAGAGAAAACACTTCCAAGCTCATTCTATGTGGCCCACATTACATTAATACCAAGGCCAAAGACATTATATGAAAAGAAAACTACAGTCCTGGCTCAGCGCCTGTAGCACAGTGGTTACAGTGCCAGCCACATACACCAAAGTTAGCGGGTTCAAATCCAGCCTGGGCCTGCCAAACAACAATGACAACTGCAACAAAAAACAGCCAGGCATTGTGGCGGGCACTTGTAGTCCCAGCTAGTTGGAAGGCTGAGGCATGAGCTGTGATGCCATAGCACTCTACCGAAGGTGACATAATGAGACTCTGTCTCAAATAAAATAAAACAAAATAAAAAACTGTAGTCCAATATCTCTGTAAGTATTGATGTAAAAACCTCAACAAAATGCTAATAAACTGAATCAATAGCCCATTAAAATGATTATATACAGCAAGTCAATGTTATTTCTAAAATGCAAGAATGGTTCAACATATGAAAATCAATTAATGTATTGTCTATATCAAAGGAGGACAAAATCATGTGATCATGTCCATCTAAGCAGAAAAGGCATGTGATATGATTCAACATCCTTTTGTGATTAAAAAATAACACACACATACAAGAAACTAGGAACAGAAGAAAATTACCTCAACAAAAATCCTGGAACATATTCTTCTTAGTAAAGTATCTCAAGAATGGAAGAAAAAGTATCCAATGTACTCAGTACTATTATGAGACCAATATGTAATCACCCACACTTTCATACAAAAGATAAAACACAACTATAGCCCAGGATGAAGGAGGGTAAGGGAGGAGAAGGGTAAGACCGGGTGAAGGGAGGGTAATCGGTGGGACCTCACCTATGGTACATATTGCAAGGGTACATGTCAAATGTATTAAGAGTATAAATGTCTTAATACAATAAGTAAGTGAGGTGAAGGCTATGTGAACCAGTTTGATGTATGTATTCTAAATTGTATATAAAATCAGCACATTGTGCCCCATAAATGTACACAGTTATGATTTAATAAAAAAATTGTTAAGAAAAAAAAATCTAAAACATAAAAATAAAAACCCTGCAGTGAACATCATACTGATACTCAGTGGTGAAAGACTGAAAGCTTTTCATCTAAGACAGGAATAAGGAAAAGATGCCCACTCTGAGTACTGGACGTTCTAGCCAGAACAATTAGGCAAGAAAAGGAATAAAAAGGCATCTGAATCAGAAAATAAGAAGTAAAATTATCTCTATTTGCAGATGAGGTGAACTTTTATATGTAGTAAACATGAAAAATTCCACAAAAAAATCTGTTGGAATATACACATGTGACAAAATTGCAGGATACAAAATTAACACATAGTTGTGTTTTCACATACCAATCATTTTCAAAAGGAAATTAAGAAAACAGCTTTACTTATCATAGTATCAGAAAGAAGAAAATACTTAGGAATCAGGCCAGGGACAGTGGCTCATATCTGAAATCCTAGTGCTCTGGGAGACTGAGACGGGAGGATCATTGGAACTCCGCAGTTTGAGACCAGCCTGAGAAAGAGTGACACGCTATCTCTATTAAAAATAGAAAAATTAGCCATCATTGCAGTGGGCACCTGCAGTCCTAGCCACTGGGGAGGCTGAGGCAGGAGGTTTGCCGGAACCCAGGTGTTTGAGGTTGCTGTAAGCTAAGCTGACGTCATGGTGGCACCCTAGCTGGGTTGACAGAGTGAGACTCTGTCTCGAAAAAAAAAAAAAAAAGGAAGAAGAAGAAGTTAAAGGTACTACAAATAAATGATATCCATGTTCATGGATTGATAGACCTAATTTTGTTCAGTGGTCCATACTACCCAAAGCAATCTGCAGATTCAATGCAATCTCTATCAAAATTCCAATGGCATTTTTTTCAGAAATAGAAAAATTTATCTTAAAATTCATATGGAATCTAAAATCCTGAATAGCCAAAACAACTCAGAAAAAGGAAAACAAAGTTGGAGGACTCACACTTCCTGATTTCAAAGTATATCATAATGCTGCACTAATTAAAACAGTATGGTACTGGCATAACAACAAACATGTAAACCAAGGAAATAGAGCATGCAGAAAAAAAAAATACTCATATATATGGTCAAATGATCTTTAACAAGGGTGCTGAGAATGCACAGTGGGGAAAGGATGGTCTCTTCAACAAAATGGTACTAAGAAACCTGGATATCCACATGCAAAACAGTGAAGTCGGACTCTCATACCATACACAAAAGTTAACTCAAAATGGATTAGATGCCTAAAAGTAAATCCCCAAACCCAAAAACTCCCAGAAGGAAACCCCAGGGTAAATCTTCAGAACCCTGGATTTGGCGATGATTTCTTAGATATGACACCCAAAGAACAGGTAACAAAAGTGAAAATAGACTAAGTGGAATTACATCCAACTTCCAAGTTTTATGCAAAGAATCCAATTGACTTAGTGAAAAGTCAACCTATAAAATGGGAATTACATGTCTCTGTAAATCATACGAGTTCGTAATGCAGAATATATAAAGAACTTCTACAACTCAACAAAACAATTCCAAATAACTCCATTAAAAAATAGGCAAAAGACTTGAATAGACCTTTTTCCAAAGAAGAGATACAAATGATCAACAAACATACGAAAAGATGTGCACCCTCAGTAACCACCGGAGAAATGCAAAGCCAGACCCCAGTGAGATAGCATCTCCCGCCCACGAGGATGGCTCCTGTAAAACCAAACGCACTGTTGGTGGCAATGGGAAATAGCATAGCTGCTATGGAAAACAGCAGCTTGCTCCTCAAAAAATTAAAAACAGAATTACCACCTCCTCCAGCAATTCCACTTCTGGATACTGATATACCCGGAGGAATTGAAAGCAGGGGCTCCGAGAGATACTCGTACACTAATGTTTCCTTCCAACAGCGCCATTCACAACAGCCGTAACTGGAAGCAACCCGAGTGACCATGAGTGACCGAGTAGATAGGGAAAATGTGATACATATACACAACCAACTAGTATTCAGCCCTGGGAAGGAGACACTTCTGCAGGCTCATAGTATAGACAAGCCTTGTAGACATTAGGCTAAAGTGAAATAAGCCAGTTACAAAAGACAAAATACTGTATGAATCCCCGACAGGAAGTCTCTAAAGCCGCTGAATTCGTAACAGTAGACGCGGTGCTTATCAGGAAGCAGGGTAAGTTGAAAATGAGGGAGTTACTATGCAGAGTTTCAGGCCCAAAAGATGAAAAATGCTGGAGCTCTGTTTTGCAACTACGTAAATAAACTTAACACCGCTGAACCGTACACTTAAAAATGGTTAAGAACTAAACTTTGTTGTATTTTTAGCACAGTAAAAACAGAATATAGTTCCTCAATTTTAAATTTAACTTTAATTCTTCATCCACATGTAGTCTTTTAATTGTCTGATCCACCTCTGAATTTATGACAACTCCACAACGTGGAGGGGTAACCGTGGTCGGCCCCCCTCCGTACCTCCTTTCTCCCCTCACACCTCACAGCAGGCCTGCCTGTCATCTGCAGCGCTGAATCGGTCAGCATGCTCTTCCCTCAGTTAATCATAAATGGAAATAGAACTTTGATCTCGTCAATGGGGCTTAAAATTGATATGATCTCTTATTGCTACTTTCTGCAAGATAACTCTTCTGCCTGAAATCAGAGAGAAGGCAGATGACGCGTACAACTTACTTGGAAGGACATGTTTTGCTGAACTGCTGATATTCTCCTAGTAGTAAATTCAGGATCGGTCTAATCCTGAAGTTTTACTTTCTGTTAATTCACTTTTGAGTCATGAAAGTCTGGGTGCCTGGTATGGGTTTGGGTCAGATGTGTAAATTCATACGTAATTATGAAAACATTACAAAAAATATGACTAACGTGTTTAGACCCCTCGTGTTCTGTTCTCACCTCCAATAGCTTTAAACAGTTAGTGATTTCTTTCTTCAAGTTGTCTTCTGCTAAATCACGGGACCTCTCTTCAAGTTTCACTCTTTTCTCCAATGTAAACCAGTCACACTTGAATCCCAAAGATAATCTGAGAAATTCTGCCTGTTGTCAAAATAACGTGAGGGTTCAGAGAGAAAATTAGACATGGTCAAGTCTTTCAGCTTCCTACCAGATTATAGCGAGGCATTCGCTTGTCCCCCCCACGACATTATATGGACATACACAGCCTTCCTGTGCACTGAGTCACTGCCAAGCCACACAGACACCAAGCTGATGACAGCTCGTGCAAAAGCACAAAGCAACGGCAGCAGGTCTCAAACGCTTTTTTAAAAAGAAGAAGAAAAAAAAAAAAACAGGTGCTTTAAACTCACCTCTACCTCCTTCTCATTAGCAGAAGTGCTGTAGGATAAGACAAAGAACTTACTCAAGTATAATGCAACAGAAAAATAAACCATGTTGACATGCTGTGGGAAGAATCACTTACCAGTCACTCTGTCTAAAGTTAACCGATTTCACAGTGGTCACGGGAAGAGGGGCAACGGCAGCGTCTATGAAAAGACAGGAAGATAGTATTTGGTTAAGAAGTCTTAACATTCAAAAGCACATCTCATTAAACATTGTTATGTCGTATCTCCACTAATCAAAGGCATTTCATCTAAGTATGTCTGAAATGACAGCCAGCTAATAAGGTATTTGAATTAGAAGACAGCGTTATGCTAAGCTATTGGGATCACAATGACATTAAAACCGTTGGTTCACCCTTCAGCGTGTGAATAGTCTTTGAATCCTCAACATGTCTCAGAATCAAGAGACAGCCCAATTTGTTCTCTTTGCATTTGAACATTTATTTATACTTGACCCACCGGCTACATGCTACCTTCTTCTGGCATTTGGGTCCCTCTTTGCTGAGTTAATAGCAGCAGCAGCAGCTGAAGCCGCAGCAGAAAGAGCAGTTGTCAATAATAGTACTAGCAATAATAATGACAGTAATAATAACACTGGCAACAATAAACATAGTGTCAACCACAGGCTTACTGTATGCCAGGCCAGAACAGAGCTCTTTACACAATCCCAGCACCCTGGGAGGCTGAGGTGGGTAAATTGCTTCAGCTCAGAAGTTTGAGACCAGCCCGAGCCAGAGCGAGACCTCATCCCTAAAAAAAAATAGGTGGGCATTGTGTCAGGCTACTCTGGAGGCTGAGGCAGGAGGATTGCTTGAGCCCAAGAGTTTGAGGTTGCTATAAGTTATGACACCATGGCCCTCTACCTCTACTCTGTTTCAAAAATATAATAAAATAAAATATATATTGTGATTTTCTTTGAGAACTTTGTTAAGGACAATATATTAGCTATTAAGAGCTTGGGTTTAAACAAACTTGGTTTAAATCTGAACTTTGCCTTGTCTTCAGCATTATATAATTCACCCATGGAACAATATTTGTACCTCTTAATATTCTGAAATAAAAGCTATAAATAAATCAATCTGAGTTTGGCCCTTAAAGCTATCTTGTCTTAAACAAGCCATACCCTCATTGAGCCATCTACAAAGTAAGGCTGATATTATTTTTATATAGTAGCTAATTTTCTTTTTTAGACAGAGTCTCACTTTGTTACCCTCAGTAGAGGGCCATGGCGTCATAGCTCCCAGCAACCTCAAACTCTTGGGCTCAAGAGATCCTCGTCTTACCCTTCGGAGTAGCTGGGACTACCGGCACCCGCTACAACACCGGCTATTTTTAGAGACAGGGTCTCAGGCTGGTCTGGAGCTCCTGAGCTCAGGCAATCTGCCTGCCTCAGCCTCCCAGAGTGTTAGCATCACAGGCGTAAGTCACCACACCGGCCTATAGCAGCTAACTTTTATAGGAACTTCTGTTCCAGGCACTTTTTTTTGGCCTAGACTGGGTTTGAATCCGCCACCTCTGGTATATGGGGCCAGCTCCCTACTCTTTGAGCCACAGGCACAGCCCAACAGGCACTTTTCTAAGTACCTCATCCAGAATCATTTATTAGATCCTCTTCCTCACTGCAAAGCTTCTGTAGCTGATACCGTCATTGTCCACGTTTTACAGCTAAACAACTAAAGCACAGTTTACCCACCTCACATAGTATTTGGAGGACTAAATAAAACTATGCACCTAAAGAATTTAGCCGAGTATTCAGCATACAGTATATTTCCAAATAAAGTGTACTTTTTTAAACTGCTCATTCCTATTTTTCAGAGGAGAAAACTATGACTTCAGGTTAAATAACTTTCCAAGATCACAGAGCTAATCAGAGACTGACCCAGTCTAGCGTCTGGAGACTACACAGTCTGAACTCTGGCCCCTGTTCCATCCTCAGGGAGGCAGGCTGAGGAGGGAGGCACGTTAGCACTTACGCTATAAATGTTGGCCAACTTACTTTTAGAGGGAATACTTCAAAAGAACTCAAAGTAGAGCTTAGAATTTACTACTCACATTGGCTCGGTTCACAACAAGACATAGTTAGTACAAGTTTTCTGGGCTCCAACAGCCAACACAATGTAAATGTGACTTTTTTATTTTTTTATTGAGACAAAGTCTCAAGCTGTTGCCCTGGGCAGAATGCCATGGCATCACAGCTCACAGCAACCTCAAACTCTTGGGTTTGAGTGATTCTCTTGCCTCAGCCTCCCAAGTAGCTGGGACTACAGGTGCCCACCACAATGCCTGGCTATTTTTTGGTTGTAGTTGTCATTGTTGTTTGGCAGGCCCGGGCCTAGATTCAAACCCGCCAGCACCAGTGTATGTGGCTGGTGCCCTACCTGCTGAGCTACGGGTGCCGAGACAACTTTTTTTTTTCATTTTTTATTATGTAAATGTGACTTTTAAAAAATGATACAAAGGGAATCAAGAATCAGTGCTATGAGCTGATCTTATCCAGAGATGCAGAATTTGTAGGTGGCATAACTCCACTTAAAGATTCCAGTCACAAAAATATCGGGGGACAAAAGTTCCCACGGGGGTTGAGAGAGAACATTGCTTACCTCCTGAAGGACATGCCTTTTTATGCTCTGCTATTGTTTCTGGTTCCTCTTTAGCTTCCTAAAATTATAAAGAGATTTTATTGCTGTACATAGAGTGGAAACCGAGCATTTCCCAACTTCCTCCCCTCCCCCAACCCTGCTCGGTGAAAAATACTTGACAGTATACAAGGAACTGTACTAGGAGGGGGTTAAGAAGAAAAGGAGACGGGTTCAAAGGAGGCTTCCAATCTAGTGGAAGCCAAAAAAGGACATAAATATACGAAAACCACAATGCGAGACATTACAGCACTACAAGCTGGGATTAATGGCAAAAGAAATGACATGCAGATAAATGAAGGATCTAACTGGGAAGTGGAAGGAACCAGGCCCGAGAAGTGGTGAGTCTCTGCAGAGAAGGAACGTGCTGGAGCTGGATGGAGAAGTGGGATTGGACGGAGGAAGAGGAAAAGGGGGGGGCGGGGGGGGGCGGCAGGGCCAGACAGGTGGCTTTCTAGGTGGGGCTTTGGACTAATTGTGGCAAAATGGCTGCTAAGACTGGGTTGTACTAGGTTTCCTCCATGTGAGTATGGGAAAACTTTAGGTAGATACGGCTGTTAAGGTAAAAACTATTCAGCATGCTCAGGTTAATGGAGAAATTTAGAAAACCAAAGATATTTTTCCATTAAAAAGTAAGTAAGTCTAAGAAGACAAATTTCCTTGTCGGGCCATTGATACAATGTCATGCAATTTTTAGACAACTGAAACTAAGGTTTCAATAAAATGTAACAAATACAATAGTACAGACAAAACACTGAGTCCTCCTGGACATTTAAATATCCCCAGTTCCTTGAATCCTCCCCCCATCTCATGACCTTTCTCAGCGATGGCACTTGCTCCTCCTGTCCTCCACAGCCACACGGGGGATGTTGTTGTCCATGGCTGCTGTTTTGAATTCTTCATCTCCCGTCTGTAACTATGTTACCCCCTTCACCCAACACTCCAAAAAAAGGGCTCTCACCAGTTATCACTGAACTCCCTATTGCCAAACCCAATGGATAATTTTTAGTCTTTGTCTTACTTGACCCTCACGGTAGCATCTAAAATGATCTGTAAATTTCTTCCTCCTGGAGATTTTTCTTCCCTTGGTTTCCTTCCCACGATGCTGCAGTAACCCCTTTCCAATCTCCACCACCCTCGCCTTCTCTATTAGATACTGTTCATCAGGACTCCACTGCCCTCAGGGCTCCTCCCTCCCTGCCAGGGTCCTTAGAACATCTCATCCATGTACTTAGGGGTTTTTTGCTGATGACTCACAGTGTGTCAGTTTTGAAAAGCCACATGGATGTGGCTGTGACTCTGGCAAAATAGCTATATATAAAGTCTCCTTGCAGACTATCAAAGTCTCACATCAACCTGAAATCTGACTTGTCTCAAACTTACTTTATCCTACACTCTCTACTCTTCTTCCTCCCTTCTGTTATTCTATTCAGCCTGTCTGTTAAGCCATAACCTGAGTATATACCTTTTCTACTATGTCACTACCTACTGCAAATTCTACCTCCTGATATAATTCAAAGTAGTCTACATTTCTTCATCATCACTAAATTCATACTACCTTCATCTCATCTGAATTATTACCATGGTAACCTAACCAGTCTCACCACTTCCATTCCTAGATTTTTCTAATCCATTTTTTTTTCTTCTGGAGACAGAGTCTCACTATGTCACTCTCAGTACAGTGCCATGGCATCACAGCTCACAGCAACCTCAAACTCTGGGGCTTAAGTGATTCTCTTGCCTCAGCCTCCCAAGTAGCTGGGACTACAGGTGCCCGCCACAATACCCAGCTATTTTGTTGTTGTTGTTGCAGTTGTCACTATTGCTTAGCTGGCCTGGGGTGGGTTCAAACCCACCAGCCTCAGTGCATGTGGCTGGTGACTTAACCTCTGTGCTATAGGCCCTGAGACTAATCCATTATTTTTCAAAGTGTCTTTATGTCTACATTTATTTTTGAGAAGAGAAGGAAGTTTTTCTCAGAAGATTCTATCATGAAAAACTAAAGGATTTTGCTCTGTTCATTTTTTACAAGCGGCAATCATTTTAAACACATGTGCTAGCCAACCCTACACTCTACCTATAGAGACAGCCCTCTGCATCCTCAAATTTCAAATCTGCAGATTCAGTCAACCCCAAACCAACAGTGTAATTACTAGGTCTATTATGGTTACATCTGTACCAAACATGTACAGATTTTTCTTGCTATTATCTCGTAAACAATATAGCATGATAGCTATTTACATTAGGTATTATAAGTAACTTAGAAATGATTTAAAGTAGACAAGAGGATTTGTATAGGTTATAATTACACTGCCATAACCACCTCTTGACTGAGCTCACACAGGTCTCTATTTCTTGCAGCCAAATGGGCCTAATTAGGGTAATGCTTATGCACTGAGGGGAAAGCAATAATAATACACACACACGCAAGTCCACACATACGACAGAGAGACTAAGAAGACATTTGAAGAACCACAGAATTGGATCCACAGTCTGTAAGTCACTCTTTGGTAATTATTAATTCAGACAGTAATGAATTATAAAAATGAAGGAAGAATAATGATTCTTCTCTTTAAGGAAAGAAATTCAACTCTTTTCTACGAACATTTACAGCTATCTGTGCAATGTTTTCGAGCTTTGCCACACAACTGTAGAAATTTAAAGACAACTATGGTGCCTCTATCATTATACCTCCATGGTACCTTTTCTGGCCTTCCACACCAAGCATTTTCAAATCTCTAACCACACTCTAATTGAGTAATTATCTGTTTATTCAACGTATTATTGGGATGGATATGTTTTATTCAACTTTGTTACTACATGCATTTAAGTATTCCTTTATTAAAAGATGTGTAGTTTGCTTCCAGTAGACTGAGTCAGTGAGTCAATTAATGAATGAAAAAAATCAAGGTGAAGACAGGAGGTCCTGGCGCTGACTCTATTGGGTCATCTCAGACAAGTCACAAAAACACTTTCGCCTAAATTTCTTCGCCTATAAAATATTGATGTAATTAAATTCTGTGAATCTCATAATATTTTGGAAGGTTAAAACGAGATAATACTTTTAAGAGTACTTTGCAAACCTAAAGGAACAGCTCTGCCATTGTCATAGACCGTTACTTTTAGGGTTAAAAAGTATGTATGTATTTCCTTACCATATTTAATACAGTTTTCTCCTTACTCATAGAGTCTTGGCATGCAATATTCTCATCAACCGGACTTGAGCCTATGAGAAAAGCAAAACATACAAGAGAGTTGGGGGAGCAGTAACAAGGAAAAGAAGAAGACACAGTGAGGGTGGCAAGACAATCAGATCAGTAAGTGACAAAGGTATCCCCGTGTGAGATGAATTACATACTACCAAAAACACATAAGTGCCGTGGACTCAGAAACAGGCTGGAGCAGCCAAGGTCCACAATGAAGCGAAGTCATAGAAGATTTTTGTTTGTTTGTTTTTTGAGACAGTCTCACTATGTTGCCCTCCGTAGAGTGCTGTGGTAACACAGCTCACAGCAACCCCAAACTCTTGGGCTTAAGTGATTCTTTTGCCTCGGCCTCCCAAGAAGCCACTACAGGTGCTGCCACAATGCCTGGCTATTTTTTGTTGTAGTTGTCATTGTTGTTCAGCAGGCCCAGGCTGGGTTCAAACCCGCCAGCCTCGGCGTACATGGTCCGTGCTCTAACCACTGAGCTACAGGCACTGCCCTGATGGTGATTTTTTAGCAGACACCTTACTGGGGTAATAACTGAAAATGGATGAAGGAAGGATGAGCAGTTAGTAGCTTTTTTACAGTTTGATAACAGATTTTCTTTTAAAAATTGCATCGGCAAGGCTGATCAAAGAGTATGACATCCTTCTAAACATGGTACACGTCTGTTTCTACATAAAATTCATCAAAATAAGAAGAAAAGATGACCTTTTAACTGGTGCCATTCTTTTTTGTGATTTCCCTCTATTTTTGTGTCCTGAGATGCACCTGATTATTACTCTCCTACCTACTCACTCCATTGCCCTGCCTGTAATTCACGGCAGGGACAAAGGCCTACAGTTATAGATAGGTTTTATTTCTTTCTAAGAAAAAAATAGTTAAAGCATATTGTCTTTTTTAATTTATATAGAAATAAGAACAAAATGGTAACCAGTTTCTTCAAAGATATAATTTCCCCCTGTGGAAATTTTATTTTAGTTTTTCTCTAGATTTTAAGACAGCAGATTCACATGGATCCTAAATCAAAAAGTATAAAATGCTTTATAGTGAACATTTCCCCTTCCTTCCCTGTCTGCCAGAAATCTAGTTTATCTGTCAATAGGCGATGTTCCTAATTTTTGTCCAGTCTTCCACTGATGCATGCATAAAAACTTTTTCCTATCCTTTTTTCCACAAAATTTTACACGCTATTGATAATATTCTGTACCCTTTTTTTTTCAACAAACAATAGTCTTTTCATGTTATTCTAACCAAAAAGTCTCCTTACGCCTGTTTTTGGTTTGGAGGTTTTTTTCATTGTTGTAGTTATTTTTGTTTGCCTATAGACAGGGTCTCGCTCTATTGCTCAAGCTGAAACGTAGTGGTGTGATCATAGCTCACTATAACTTTCGACTCCTGGGCCTAAGCAATCCTCCTGCCTCAGCCTCCAAAGTTGGACTATAGGCACCTGCCACCAGGCCCAGCTTATAATTATTATTTTTTTAAGAGACAGAATCTTGTGAAGTTGCCCAAGTGGGTTTCAAACTCCTGGCTTCAAGTGATCTTCCTGCCTGGGCCTCCCACAGTGCTGAGAGCATAGACATGGGCCAATATGCCTGGCCTCTTCATGTATGTTTTATGCCTGCAAATTAGTATTCAATGTATTGATCTGCCAAGATA